ATTATTTTAGAGATCGTAGAATCATCAACATACTTCGAATCCATAGATCAAAACCTGGGATGTTTGACTGAAATGATCTGTTTTGAGATTTTTAAAAATATCCAAGTGGGACTGCTAAGAATGAGAGTGCATATTTTCAACCTTAATTTCAGTTTGTTTGCAATCATTTATTGATTTTTCCAGAATACAATGATTGATGCTTGTGTGGTGGATGAACACTCAGGATTCTTGCAGCAGGTGTGCAGTGCAGCACCGACAATGAATTAATAGATGTGTTTTTTGAGCTAATAATATTACTGTTACTTAATATGAATTTTCAAAAATGGTTATTTTGTTTTTGTAGGCTGCTGACATTACCGGTGGAATGTACCTTAAAGTGCCACAGACTCTTGCATTGCTTCAATACCTCCTGGTGAGGTTTTGATTTAATCTAATTATAATGGCACTAATGACATTGGCACATTTTCAGTCGGTGGAGAGATTATTGCTCTGGTAAATTGTAAAAACTTTACTAACAACTCAGAGTGTCTCTCTTGAAATATCATGTTAAATCCAAATGCTCCATTCTTAATATACATGCATGCTTATTTCATTTCAGTGGGTGTTCCTTCCAGAGCCAAGAGTCCGTAATCAGTTAATCCTTCCTTCATCGATGCACATTGACTACAGAGCCGCTTGTTTCTGCCACAGACGACTCGTTGATATTGGATTTGTTTGTTCGGTGTGTTTATCAAGTAAGGCTGAGTAATTTACATATTCATCTGTCAATTTTTTTTTCTGTAGCACTGCATTTACAAATCTGTCTTTAAAAGGTCTAAAAAAAAAATGATATTTGCACATTTCCCATGGGATTGGTGGGAGAAAAACCTATGCAGGATTTTTGGAAAAGATCACTTGAACTTTTTTACTTAGTGGGACCTCCTATGACCCTAAATAAGTAATTACCCCAGTAAACCCATAGAAAAAACTGGTTACAACTTTCATCTAGCCTATTTAATGATGTTTCAGTTTTCCATAAAAATATTGGTCTTTTGACCAAGCGCTCTTTGTAATGTCAGACACTGCTCAGGTGAGCATTTCATGATTCGCAAAGGAACAGCTGCAAAGGGGACAATGAGGCAGCCTCCATGGGTGGGAACTAGTTGTTATTATAATTATACTGTTACAGGTGTATGTGACACCTTTTTTAACTTTACTATATTTGGCTTGTGTTGCAGTTTATTGCCAGTTTATTCCTGTCTGTCTCACTTGCCAGTAAGTTTGTCTGAATTCTTGATTAATGTTCCTTGTGAATAAAGTTGTAGAAAAACGTAGTAAATGTGGTATGAAAGTGAGAAAAATGGTTACAAGTATTGCAATGGTTTTGCTTTGATGTGCTCTGTGATTGGTCCAGTAAACATTTTCTCTCTTCTCAACAATTCAGAAGCAAAGCTAAAACCAACTTTTGAGTGGCTGCTGAAAAAGTATTTCAGAAACTATTACTCTAAAGGCGGTATCACAGGACAGTGCAATTTTTGCACATGGACAGAGAGCCAATTTTCATTTCTTGCAATACTCCTGAGTGTGGAAACTCCACAGGAGCTCTGCTATCAGAGGTGACACCTCCTGAGGAATTTCTTCCTGATTTTTATGTTTGTTTACTCTACCCTTTATTCTCATTTCTTTTGCAGAACAAGATTCAAACTTCCTGCACTTCCTTTAGCAAGACCAAAGAAGAAAAAGAAAGAAAACACAGCTCCTGGGAAATGAGATTTATTGTCCTTTTTCTTTTAATTCTTGTACAAATTATTTAGTCAGATGTTTTTATAATAAAAAGTGTTCTTTGAACTATGAAAAATAGAATTCTGTATTTTTCATTGAAATGAGTGAATTTAGGTCCCAGATCAAACTTCAGACTTGACAAATTGTGAAAATATTATAATTTCAAATTTGAAGAATCCTTTGTTGCAACTCAGTTGTATCACAATCCACTAAAGTAAAGTTTGACTCCTGACTTTCAGAGGCCTAAGTCCAGGATTCAAAAAGGCATCTAATGGGGAGGGGTGGTTCAAGGGTGCATGTGACCCCCTTCCTTGTTAGTCATCTGATGCAAGTAAGACCCTAATGCATGACCCACTCCCTCAAAGTCAGGAAATTTCTCCTACCCCCTGATATCTTGATCAATAATTCTAGTGAGAAAGTGAAGTGAAACATGTCACTTTTGAACACATCACTTTTCCTTTTTCACTGATGAAGCAAGTAAGAATAGAAAAAACTATTTATCCCATAAATGTTATAACTCCCTTGAAAGGTACATTGGGAAATATAAATGCTTCTAATAATTAAAAAATTAATGGCTTTAAAACAATAAAGCAATGTAAGGACAGTGGAAGTTAAGGAATATCTGAAAATTGATGATGCCAATCATGCTCTTGAAAATAACAGCATAATTTAGAGGTTGGCCATTCTTGATCAAACGAACTGGTCAATTGAGTACCTTTATTTGGACATGTTTTGAACATGAGAATGGCCACTCTTGATCAAAGGAACATATCAATTGAGTACCATGATTTGGACATGTTTTGAACAAGAGAATGGCCACTCTTGATCAAAGGAACATATCAATTGAGTAACATGATTTGGACATGTTTTGAACATGAGAATGGCCGCTCTTGATCAAAGCAACATATCAATTGAGTACCATGATTTGGAGATGTTTTGAACATGAGAATGGCCGCTCTTGATCAAAGGAACATATCAATTGAGTAACATGATTTGGACATGTTTTGAACATGAGAATGGCCGCTCTTGATCAAAGGAACATATCAATTGAGTACCATGATTTGGACATGTTTTGAACATAAGGACCAAAGGAACAATCACGATAACCATTCAACTGTTCAGCAAATTATTGCTTAAAGCACGATATTACATTTATTACAATTATGGTACATATTTAGAGCCATCAAGAATCATCCATTTCTTGGAACAGTGCCAGCACTGAGTTTGATTCAAGCTCTTTTTGAATCTCATCCATATCAACAGGAAGCATATCCTTGCCATCCAACCAATCAGATAACAAAGAAGCTGATAGTGATGGACTGTTCGGCAAGCTGCCTGGAAGCATCAGGCAGGATTCTTTATAGGGGCTCGATCTACAAAGAGAAAATGAAGAATCTCTTGATATTGATACTGCAATAATAAAAAAAAAATTGACAGTTAAGAATGCACATGGCTACTGCTGTCACGTCCCACCTATTTATAAGTACCTTGTTTCACAAGGGAAAAATGATTCAAGAATATAGTGACTAGTTGACAATCAACCACCAATAATTAAATGGTAACAAATAAATAATAATAATAATAATTTATAATAATATAATGATGATAATGATGATAACAATTATAGTAATTATAATGATAACAACTTGTAGGGGCTAGCTCAAGAACCTCACTGTTCCTCTAGCCATCTATTCTCTACTAAAAAAAACATAAGGCTCCAATAGTGGTTAAATGGCTTCTTTTAATTTAATTTTGCCAATGAATTATATATTATTTCCTTATTTTATTGCAATTCCATTCTTTGAGACTGTTGATTTATACAATGAAGCATTCCATGCTCCCTCTAACCCCCCCTCCCCCTTTTCCACTGTTACAAAATAAACCCCTTGGACAATGAAATGACAAACCCAGTGAGTCTATCTGAAGTCAAGGACATATCCTTTAGTAGAGTGACTTGTGAACGAGATACTTACAGGTTGTGGAGTACTGGATCCTGAACAATTCCAGCTTGATCAAGAAGTTCTTCAATATCAATTCCTAAACCATAGCCATTTCCGGTTCCTTTTGCTTTGGAAGACAGCATGCTGGAAAAGATGACCTCCTCTGATAACCCTTCTTGTTCAGTGATCCCTTGAACATTAAGGTCGCTGAATGCATCCTGGATGCTTTCTGGAATAAGCTCACTGTCCTCTTGAGATGCTTCAGTTGCCTGAGTATTGAAATCAGTCTGCTGTGATGTGGACTGCTCTGATCCTTGTTCAAGAGGTGATGTCCTCGAGAAGGATTCTGTAGCTGTGGAGGTCATTGTTGCTGTATTGTTTGCAGTATCAGCTTGTTTAAATATGGGGGATGGAATCACTGAAGGGTTAAGCATTGAACTCCAGAGTAGCTGTGCATCTGAGGTACTCAGCATAGTTTGTAAAATGGTTTGAAGGCTTCTTGGACTCATGAGAGAAGGTCCTGGCATGCTGCACACATTTAACGCAGTTTCTAAAGGTACTGCATTTGATACAGCTGAATCATTCAAGGGAAATGACGAATCATATTGTGACAAAATTGGATTTGACTGGAAAGCATTTGTGGTCTGTGTTATGGAGGAAGCATGAACTGTTTGGCCTGTACAAGTTTGCACAACACTGTTCCAAGAGTTACTGATCATGGATGAAAGAGCACTGCTACTTGCTGAGTGTGCAGGTTCAAGTGTTTGTAGAGAATGGTTATTTACAGTGGACAAGAATTGAGGAGGAGCTTTTGACATGGTATCACTTTGGTTGGTAGTAACTTTGACATGTGGATTATTTATCAGTGAGGTTTGTGAAGCCGTTGATGGTTGTTGTTGACCAAGAGTAGCTGCATTTGCTATGTTGTTTTGAACAAAAGAACTGTTTCTTGAGGGAGTACTCATTGCATTATTTCCAGGTTTATCTCCAGCTGTAGACATATTTGCCACTTGGTTACTGACTTTGGCCCCTAAGGGTAATCCAGGCTGAATAACTACAGTGGAAGTGGAAAATGACTCTGTGTTCTTGGATGACTGTTGCAAAAGAACTGGAAGAGAAGATGACAAACTTGGCAACAGTGGGGTGGATGACACAGCAGTTGTCATATCATTTGGCAGAGTCATTGACAAGATACCAGTCACTGAACTTGACATTTCTAATGCAGATGAAACAGCAGTATTGTTTGTCTGATTGTCTGCATTGTTACAAACAGCTTTTCCAGTAACTGCACCACCTGTACAAGTGAGAACAGACTTAGCCTGAAGTGGAATGCCGATGGAATTTGTTGTGCTGTTATTCTGCAAACTAGCCACTCTTTCATGACTGCTTACACTAGAAACAGCAACTTGTTTTGATGGACCTTGGGCTGCAGCTTTCTGAGAAGCAGGGTATAATTGTTCAGTTGCCATTGGAACAGGAAGGTTCATCAGCATGGACTGTGATAAAGAAGCTACTTGACAGGGTGCTATAAGAACAATCTTTCCTGTAACAAAATACATGAACTTCCTATATTAAAGACAGAATTAATCATAAGACAAATACTATCTTTTATAAATTGTGAAAGTTTTATAAACTATACTGTACATTAATTTTTTTATTTACCAAACTATGTCTAAATTCTGAGCTAATTTCTGCAAAGTTTAGTTTTCACATCACTTAAAATTACAAAAATGTCTGCTTGTGAGCAAAACAATCCTTCCTGCTGGAGCTTCCTGTTGTTTCATTAGCATGGTCTGACTGGGGGTCTTTTCCGCCCCCCCTCCCCCTATACAGGATGCCAGTCCATTGCAAGCTCACTTGACCAGCTTTTTTACAGTTTCTATTTTATTTTTCTGATACTCATAAGTAAAGAAAGACATGTGAGAGTCAAGTATTGTTACAGTACTAAAAAAAGAAAAAATACATTGACCCAACCAAGGAGTCCACTCAGACTGTGCAATCATGAAACAAGAGCACAAACCATAACCCTGCCCCTTCTCCAACCTATTAGCAATGGATAAAAAGAATATATGTGTATAAGGTCAGACTTACCCCCTGGTACAGCCATTCCACTTCCTGGTAGAGTTTGCATCACATTTGACACTGCTTGATTTGGGACCTTAACAGCTTTTAATCCTGTCACACTGCCATTTTGGTTCTGAGGTACAAACTGTGTGAACTGAAACTGCTGCTGAGCATGGCTCCCAGGTGGCACAACTGGCTGTGAAGTGACTGCTGTACCTGGTTGAATATCTCCACCTGAAACCTCCTCTTTTAATTCTTTGAGGTCCTGCATGTATTTTCTGATTGGGTGTATAAATGGTTTGGTTTGTTTTCTCATGCTTTCCCATCTAGCTAACATTTCTTTATCTTTGTCACTGAGCCCTGTGGAGTCATCTGACCTGGTTTCTTTGTTTTCTGATTTCCTTCTAGCTGCTTTAGCCTTCTTATTTTTACTCTCTTCTTTCTCCTTTTTCCTTTTGAGGTTTTGCTCCATCTTCTGTTTGACATCCACCAAAGTCAAAGAGGAAACTGGGCCATTGCCTAAAGTCAACCCAGAGGAAGTGTAAGTTATTCAACAAACTCTCCCATGAAACAAACATGTAACCTCTCCTTGCAACACCCATACATTATCCAGCAAAGAAAAAATGACAAAAGACAATTGAAAATAAGTAATCTGCTGAAAATTAATTTGACCAACCAACAAGACAATACAGAGCAGCTAGAAGGGAAAATTCCTATAAAACAATAGTGATAAGTCTACATGAATTGAAAATTCCCTGTGGACTTCAAAACATGAAGTGCTTAAGTCAACCATCATAAAAGCCAGGTTTTCAGATGGAAAAAACAATAAAGAGGATTGCTTGCTTGCCATCTTTAATTTTTGCATGGAAATAAAAGTTACTTAATCCCTAAGAAAGAATAGGATGTAATTTCTCCTTACACCCCTGAATTATCCCCTTATCACCCCTGAATTGTATATTGGGCTTACAAGAATAAAGCAAATGATCTCTAACTAGAGAAGCTCCTAATTGTTAAACAGACTCTCCTTGGTATGACCTTGGGAAATGTATATGAAAACAGTATGGAGAATATGCATACTGATGTTGGAGTGTATAGGGTTAAAAAGTATCCAAGAAAATAAAGATTTGTATCTCAGTAATAGATTACCTTTCTTTGGTGCACCACTACCATTTCCATTTCTTGACTGTGTTGATGAAACTTGGCTTGACTGTACTTCTTTAGGAAAGCTTGACACAGGAGACAAAATCAATGATTTCTCTTTATGAAACTGTTCAATTTCTTTAAGTATCCTTGCTTTAAGATCATCTTTAGTAAAAGGAATGTCCTCAAAGTCAAATTCAAAAGGTGGAAAACACATAGGTTCATCATCTACGCAGTGGTATTCTTTCAAATACTTGTGAGCTAGTGCATCACCCACTGAAATTCTCTCATTTGGGTCAAGTTTTAACATTTTCCCCAGCAAATCCAGTGCTTCAGGGTGGCATTTATCTTCAGGGTAAAGCTTTTCCAGTGGGACTGGTTCTTTCCTTGGTAGTCGCTGAAGATAAGTTTTCACTCGTTCTGCCCCCATTCGCTCAATGAAACTCTCTGATGGAGTGCCAACAACACTGAGGATCAGCTGAAGTACAGGTAATTCAAAAGAAAAATTATGATAAGCAGTAATATCATGGGATTTTTTTTAACTGTTGAGTCTAACATAAAAGTTAGCTGTCACATCATGCAACAACAAAATTACTTGAATGATAAATATTTGTCAAGTGTCACCTTGTCTTCTTAATTGAGAAAAGAAAGGGAAGTTTGTGCATGTTCCTTTGGTTTTACTTGTTTGTTTCATTTGTTCCCACTTTTCTCCTGATAACTTTGCTATCCAGCTAGGGGTGGACTTATTCCTTCTCTGACGTCAAGAGACTTATCAGGTTTCAACGTCAAAGACACTTATCTCTTACCCTCCCCACCCTTAAGACAAACATTAGTTCCTGAAATGATTTCATTATTAACAGCCCCTTCTGTTTCTAAAAATGGAAATTCTTTAAATCTCTGTTTTTTATTTCGTTTTTCCATACAGCCATTTTCCGCATTGGGTGAATCTAAAAAGGAAATAAAACCTTGTAAAGAAACCCGAAAGTGCTAATTACCTGCAACTGGTTGAGATAGTTTGTCCCTGGAAATAAATGTTTCCTTCCAAGCATTTCTGCAAAAATACAACCCACAGACCACATATCGATTGCTTCCGAATATTCACTTAGCGACAGCATCAATTCAGGAGCTCTGTACCATCTGGTAGCTACATACTCTGTCATCACCCTCTTTTGTTCTGAAGGAGAGGAAGATAGACCTCTGGCCATTCCAAAGTCTCCAATCTTTAACTCACAATCCTGGTTAACCAGCAAATTGCTAGGTTTAAGATCTCGATGCAGGACTTTTGCAGAGTGAATGTACTTCAATCCACGAAGAATCTGATACAGAAAATAGCGAACGTGTTCGTCTGTCAGCTGTTGTTGAGAATGAATTATATGGTGTAAATCAGTTTCCATCAAATCGAGAACTACGTAAACATCGTTAAACTGCTCCAGATCGTCAGGAGGTTTAAGAATATTCTTTATGGAGATGATATTATCATGCTTAAAATGCTTCAAGATCTTGAGCTCTCGATACGTTCGTTTTGCTGTGGTCACCACGTCGAATGCTCTGGGAATTTTCTTAATTGCAACTTTGCTATCATTCTTGGTGTCAACGGCGGAACACACAACCCCATAAGCTCCATTGCCTATATTCTCCAACAGCTTGTAGCGAGTATCAAGTTCAAACTTAACTTCGAAATTTTTGTCCTTGATCTTGTAGGTGCGTGTTTCGGTGGTCATCTTTTGCTGAACTCCACAAAACTAACGCATCTGTGAACATGTTTGAGATATAAAACACTCATAGAAGAGAAAGGAACAACGGGCGGTTACCAAGCTACGTGTTCCTTATTTATACCGTAGGCGGATGACGTTAAATATAGTAACACATTACGTCGCCAGCTACCAATCAAAATATGACCGGAAAAGAATCAAATCTATGGGAAAACCCCACAAAACTTCATCGTCTCCCATACAGTTGGAAAAGCCGGAAAAATATTGTAACTAGAGATATCATAGATACTTTCCCTGATATTTAAAATGCTCATCACTGTTGTCGGTAATAATCAATTGGATTAGCTTTCTTGCAATTACACTTGCATCAAGCATCTAATAAAGGTTGTCTAACAGGTAATGTCAATGCCTAAGAAACATATCATATGCAAAAAGATATGAATGGGTAGTAGAGACAACATTTCCCATCTAAATCAAAATATTATTTGGTGTCAATTTGCTGAATAGGTTTCATTCAGTCGAGGGAGCTGTCTGGTGGTTAATTTCAAAAACAAAAAGGATAAATAAGAGGAATTTGTCTTGTGAGCATGGAAGTTTTCTGTATTTACAGTATGCTGCCATTAGCTTTCCTAACAGACTGATCTGAGATACGAAATAAAAGCGTCCAACAGGAAGGTCAGTGGTGAGTTGTTGTGACGCACAGTTAACTGGGGCTTCATCTAGATGACCACCACAATATTCTCATAAGTAACACGCTACAAGACACTACTGAGAATTTTAAAAATTTTTTATTTAAAATCAATATTGTTATGGATCATACACATTATCTCTTGTAAAGTAAGTATCATTTCATCAAATTGATCAATGTTAAAAAAAAACTACTGTCAATAACATTTATTCTCTTTTCTTTTTTCTATCTCCACTTTCACCTGCAGATCTAAGTGTAATCAAGCTAATGACCAATAGGACTGCATTCACCACATATGTTGAAATACACACAACACATGTGTCATGTAAGATGTAGAACAGAATGTAACCCAGATATATCGATCCTGCACAGGACATCAGTGAAAATAGGAACATCAGCCAAGCTGCAAACTTGTTGGAGGTCAGACCTGAATAAAAGACCCAATAAATAAAAAACAACCTTCTCAGTACTGAGACTAATCAAAAGAAATTTCTCCTAGTAATGACAATACAGTATCAAACAAAAAGTAATAGGAATGTAGAAAATTATAAGTTTTAGAGAATGAACCTAATGTAATAGTACTATGTGTTACACTAGTAACATATTTTTGCTACCAGCATTGTGCAACTTCAGAGAACTTATCAAAGAAGTTAAAACATATGTGACATTCCTAACTTTCTTCATATCACTCAACTGCTTTACAGATTAAGGACTAAGAATGCTGCAGTTTCTCTTTTCCTAAATAAATATACAAACGCATTATTGAACCAATTTTTAGCTACGCAGACACAGCCTGGGGTGAACTACCCGAGAGCAGCATCACTAGTCTGCAATGATTACAAAATCGAGCCGCGAAAATCGTCACCTGTCAGAAAAGTACAAGGACAGCCCGAAATATTGTAAATTGGCCAGATTTAGAAACACTGCGAAAAATACACAAATGTATTTTNATACTTAAAAAACTATTTTAAAGTTAACAGTGACATACACAATTATAACACTAGGCAGAGGAGAAATATTCACCTAAATAAAACAAATCTTGTTCTTGGAGGGCGAACTTTTAAAAATTCAGGACATTTAGCCTTTAATTCACTGCCAAGCAAAATCAAAGAGGCAAGTTCTCTAGAAATTTTTAAACGCTTTCTTTAAGGACATTTTATCTGATTTTATCTCCTCTTTTAATCTCAGCAAATTTTATTCAACTTTGTAATTTTATTGGAAATGTGCATATGTAAATTTTATAGAAACCAGGGCCCTTAAGGATACCAGCCTCCAAGCTGACTGGGCCACCCAGGCTAAATAAAGTTGTCTTGTCTTGTCTTGAAATAAAGTAGTCCAGTGAAAGAAGGTCGACATCTTCCTTTTTGGTTATAATAAATTTCCTTTTTTTCATTCCACATATTGTTTAATCAGTACTGCAGTTAAAGGCTTTCCTATGAAACTTATGGTAGCCAGTCAGGAGAATTGCTGATGGGATCTTGGAGTTAAAGGAATAAAACATGACCATCATAACCATCCTTACCAAGAAGTAACATCAAACTGTAGAAAATAATCCCAAATATACTGTTGGGAACATTGAGAGGTGAATCTTTGCCCATAAGTGGCTCAACCAAGCCAAAACCAGTTCCATACCTGGTGAGAAATAAACATCCTAAATGAGATCCCATCATCAATAATACCATACAATATTTCAGTGATATAGAATGCATGCACTCTGTAGAAGACAAATTACAGAAAAAAAAAATTAACACAAGCAAAGTCACATACTTTGACGAAAATACTTTTGAGCAGCTCATAGGTTCATTGATGTCACAGAGAGCTTTGTATTCTTTGTTGTGTTCCTTTGACATCTCCACATGAAGAGCATAAACTGACAAAGCTATACCAGCAACACAGGCCAGGAAACGAAACACCCCCAGATAGCTTACCATGGCTGATAAAATTCAACCAGACCGTTCTCCTGAAAAGGATGAAAAGAAGAAATTTAGTCATGCAACTCGAATTCTCTTTTAAATTTTGGCCTGATATCGTATGTATAGAAAATCTTACTGCTGAAAGAATACAGTTTTTGAAAACTCCATCTAACAAGCTTACCCATTTTGATCATGCAAGCCTTGGTCTAATAAACTTTGATGTTCCAACCCTACAAAGTGTTCTATTCCCCCCTATCTTTTCAATAAAACCCAATGAAATTAAGAAGATTTCATCACTGTACTAGAACACTTTATAAATTAAGGTTTTAATTAAGATCCTCATTACAAACAGCTGAACAAAGGTTGATATATGTTACGAATAATAATAATTAAATATATTCGATTTGTGGTTCTAAATTAAATCACGACTACGATGGTGCGTTCTAGTGTCTCTAGTCACTTACCAGTACTTCGAAAACAAATCAAGACTGAAACGTAGCTCTACGTAATCGATACCTTTTAGAGGCCTGATCACGAAGCTCGTTATACTACCTCGTATCTTTAAAACTTTGGTCGCTTTGCAATCGCGTGGTTACTAATGTTTGCTTGGTCACCAAGTAATGAAGACAAAAGCTGGGAAAACGGGGGCGATTACAGGGGGTAAAAGTACCGCGCGGAGTTTGAGTTGTGTCTGTCTGAAGAATAACTTTAAAAAGTTTTTGTTTATCGCGATCTACGATGTCTGGAAATGAAGATCAGACCTCACATTCGGCCGTTAGTCGTCCACGAAAAGTACTGAGGAAAAGACAAAGTCGCGATGATATTTTTTCCTACAGAGGGAAAATGGCATTGTCATTTAAAGCAAAACAAGTGAAATTGCAAGACTCTGACAGCTCCGGGTCAGATGATGACGAAGCTTTTCACAGAATGCACACAGCGCAATACACCAAAAGCGATTCTTCTGATTTAAAGAACAGTGACAGCGAAGATGACTTGTAAGTTGAATTGTGAATAGAAGAGGAGGTCTGTGGCAAGGGGGGTACTTCCTTAGATGGACTGTGTGAACAAGGTTTATCCATAAGAGCCCATTTTTTAACCTAAACATACCAAGTTTAAATGAAAGGTATATATGCGGCTCTTATTGTAAACAAAAACATTAATCCATATTTAGGCCCTCTGTTGTGAAGGTCCACAATATAAATTCAATTCTTAAATCCAACTCCGAGTTTCCGAGGATGACGTTACAAACGCTAGTCCTTGTTGAGAGCGAACATCAAACCCGGAACTCCCAATGGCAAATTGCTTGAGACAGCTGAAACACAGGGAAACTATGACGGGTATGACTTACAATACTTTACAAAGAGGTTCAGACAATGTGAGTCAGAAACAAAGTCTTAAATTTGTGTCACAGACTTTATTCAGTAAGTTTATTTAGGGATACTTATTAACTGTGCTGTTGCTTAGGTGGGTTACAAAGGAAATGTCTGTTGAAGAAATAAACAGCTCAGAAAATGACATCAAGGAAACATATTTCAGAAGATCACCAACACCACCCCCTGCATGGTCTCCAGAACTTTCTGAGGCCACAAAGATGAGGATTAACTTGCGTCAAAATAAGAAGCTTAAGTAAGTAAGAGAGTATTGTGGGTTGATTATGCCAACTTTTTTTTGGAGAGTTTGTAAATATCTTGGGCAGTTTTAATCTCAGATGGAATGCCGAAAGTCTGAGAATTCTACCTCAAATAAATGCAATTTCTTTTTTGGTTCAAAAGTAGGTCAGGCGATATGACTGATGGAGGATTTTGTTGATACTACCATAAAAAGAAACAAAAATCATCAGAGAAAACTTCTCCAAAGTATTTGGAGAAGTTTTCTCTGATGAGGATAGAAAAAGGTCCATGTTCTTCATTCGACCCACACTAAGACTAAATATTTGAATATTCCTTAAAAACGACACAAAACTTGAAGGTAGAAGGTGATGGTCGTTAAAAATGTTTTGGAGTATTTGTATGTATATAAACAGCCAAGAAAATTTCCAATCCTTTGTCTGTTTTTTTCTCTTTTTTTTAATTATTTTCTCAGGGAACTTGACATTGTATTAGACTCACTCAAAAGATCAACCAAGACAAACTGGGCGTCACCTGACAGTCAACTGTCAAGCAGTGTGATTTGTGAAAGTGACAGTGATGGGTTTCCAAGTCCATCAGAACGGGATGTTGCTGTTAAAGTTAGAACAAGATCAGGAATAAAAAGATTCACCACAAAGGCTGTAAGCAGAGTTATTTATTTTGTTCCAAGAGGCTCAACAAGTCACAAAATATATAACTTTCGTGGTAAATTTCTTTGCCGAAATTTTTTTACAATTGCCATGGTAATCAAACCTTTGCAGCATGGCGTGCTGTCTAAGAGATGGATTTGTTGTCTGTAGGTAACATTTTTTTTTTCTAACATATTAATTTCTACTTAAGAAAAAAATGTGTCCAACTTTTCTGCATTTATTTAGAACCTCTCATGATCTTCAATAGGCTTAAAGACAAATAGTATTAAAAAGATTTGTCATAGAGTAAAGCGGGAAAGGTATTAAAGAAACTATGGTGTTGCATCTGTGGGGGATATAACAAGATAATTTGGTTTCATCAACTGAGTTCAGAATGTGAATTTGCTACTGTGAAGAGATTCCAGAGCTGACATTTCGAATGTTAGCCCTTCATCAGAGCAAATAGAGGAATTAAGGTGTGGTTTATATACAAAAAGATGAACCTCTATTGTTGATGGGAACATTGGTACATGAAACACAAAGACAAGAATAAATTATTTCAATGAAAATTATGTAAACTACCCATGATTCCTTGATTCACTCCTACAAAGAGCTAACACTTGAAGCATCAGCTTTAAAATTTCTTCAAGGGTGACCAATTAACATTATCAACTAAGGTGATGAAACCAAAACAATAATCTTATAACACCCAACCAAATGCTTTATTGTCTATTTTAAAGTCAGTGTTCAGGGCTTTTAAGTTGAACACTTAACGTAATCTGTCCTTTCAGCTAACATGGTATTCAAAACTATTCTAAAGAATCTCAGTTATTTTTTTGTAGGAGAAGCTTTTGTATAGATATCCAGAAATTATTCATCATTTTCTCAGGCAGAACCATTTGGTAAGATCATATCTCAGCTTGCTCAACTGGAAGGTGTATCAGAAGATAAAATCATGTTAAGTCTGGCAGATATCAACATCTTGGGTTATGATACACCCATTTCCATTCACCTCAGTGTAGCAGACATCATTGGTAAGTCTATGTCACCACTTATGCAATGCATGGTATGTGTGTCCATTCAGTTATTTGTTCCACAGGCCTTCTGGTTGGTGCACAAACTCTAGATTTAGAGGCCTGCCATGAATGGATGACTAGTGAGGATATGGATGGGGAGGGTGGGTGTGGAATCTTAAGGCACATCAGTATCCCATCTTCCCCCCCTCCCTCACCAAGGAAAAGTGATAATTTACTACAAAACAATCTGACTTTCCCCTTTTGCTAGCAAATAGAACACTTGTGTGGTAACTCCTCATGGAGAAGCTTGCCAGCAAGCCTGACATGATTTACTACGAGTAATGACTTACAAGAGGAGATTTACAGCTTAGTGTCAACATCAGTTTTTCTCTTTCTAGAATGTGTAGTTATAGATAAACCAATACTGCCAGACAGTGTGGAAGAAGATGAAAATTCAATTGAGATCAAAGTTCAAGGCAAAGAACCTGACTCAAAGAAAACATTTAGAATATTAAAGGTGTGTGTAGAGAAAGAATTTAATTTAGGAACTTTGAACTGTTGTAATAAAAACCCAGGAGATGAGGTTTTTTTTTTTCTTTCTGTGATGATAGTTTGCAGGTGGCCATATCCAAACCATTTTGACTCAACGGCTCATGAGAACAAAGACGAATGATGCACTTTAGTAAAATGATAACTTGTATGAGAGAAAATAAGCATATCTGGCATAACTGCAAACAAATAAAAAAAGAAAGAAAAAAATGGGTACAATACTTTCCAAGGCAAGGTTGGTTTTATGTTTACGTCTAATTATTTGAGGGGATAGTGAGATATTTCTGGGCCAATAATAGAGCGTATAACAAGACACCCAGCACAATTTTGGATCAACTTTGATGCCAATTTAACGATTATCTTAACCCTTTACACCCTATGATCAGTATGCATATTCTCCATACTCCATACTGCTCTCTGTGCATTTCCTATGGTCCAACAGAGAAATTCTGAATAAATTATATTAAAATCATATTTGTGTACTGCTGTTTCATGAAATGTATGAAAGCAATCCTCGCAGTAATAAACCCTCCTCAATATTTTTTATCTATCCTGCTATTTCTTTTATAGAATTTTGTAATTATTTATATATTTATTTATTTGTCAGTTTTTTGTAATGTTTTATAATCTAGTTAGAGGGCCACAGGTTTGTCAGCTATACAGCTGTTACGTGTCTCCCTCTATAAGTAAAGTTAGTAATAAACCTCTATAAATAAAGTCCTTATCCTCTAAATAAAGTCCTTATCCTCTATAAATAAAGTCCTCCTCCCCCTCTATAAATAAAGTCCTTACTATTACTATGACTATTCCTTGTGTAGTAGTGTAGTAGCAGTGATGCTTGCGGTAATAAACCCTGACTTATGTAGTCGCAGGCCTGTATTTTTTCAGGCCTTATTTCCACTACTACATATTTAAGTAGGGTTTATTAATGCAAGGATCGCTTTCGCGTATTTCATGAAACTGCAGTACACATATATGAATTTCATGTATTCAAAATTCATTGATTTATATCACTTGGATGGGTTTAATTAATACAAACCAACATAATGACCAGTTCCCTGTTGACTTGTTAGCTTAGTTGGTAGAGCACTGCACTGGTATTGCAGAGGTCATGGGTTCAAATCCTGAATGGGCCTGAATTTTTTTCAGCCCTCATTTCCACCACCACATCAGTAGGGTTTATTACTGCAAGGTAAAAATAGTTTAGCATTCAATTTGGTGTGGGTTTCTTCTATTCTTGTAACCTTAATGTGTAATTCATGGGTGGTACTGGTACGAGGAATTTCAATGACATTATTCACTTGTAACAACCTATCACTGACCTTCCTGTGGGACGCCTTTATTTTGTATCTCAGACCGACCAGTTAGAGAAACTTATGACAGCTTACTGCGAATACAGAAAACTTCCACGTTCAAGAATTAAATTCCTCTTTGATGGAGAGGATCTGAAAGGAGGCGAAACACCTGAACAGTTGGACATGGAACACGAGGATGTGATTGATGTCCAAGTCAAGTAGCTTTAAAGCAACAGAACAAAAAGGTGGTAGCTCATCAACGCCATATCGTTCGTTATTTTTTTCCAGTTGGTTTGGGTCTTTCTTTCAGTGACCTAGTTAAGTATTTTCAAGTGTATATCTGTTTGTGTTGTTGATAAGAATTCTTTGATGCAATGCTGAAACAACAGTTTGGTGTGAAATGCTTCCTTTTAAGAAAGTCAATCGAACTTCTTTTCTCTTTCGTGACTTCTTGTTGAGCAAACCACATCTTACCTGTCTTCAAGTAATTAAGTAATTAACCACAACCAAAAAAGCAGGGTAGTTTTGGAATATAAACTTCATGGAACTGTGAGCCTGATCAGGTTACGAAGTCACTTCGTTTCCTCTTCTTAAAAAGAAAAAAAGAATTTAATCCTTAAACTTCTGTGACGGCAAAAATTTTTTCCATGGACTGGATCCTCTGCTGGCAGAGATCCTGATGAACGATTGCCAAGATTACAAGGACTGTGTAAGTTTCCCTAGCAAGAAAACATTTTGGGATAGTAACGCACTCGAAAAGATTGCTTGATCACCTCAAAAACATCTGGTTTCGAGTCAATCATATTGCGTCTTTGGGTGAATCTAGAACTGTCTTCAAGCTGAGTCAGATTCATCATTCTCAGTGTCCAGTCGTGCACTGTCTGTAATTAATAATCGAGATACCAACACTTGTAAGGCGGATGAAATTAAAAAATCTTTCATTCTAAACACACTGTTGTGTGTTGTTGTTCTACCTGTTCTGTTAAACGAGGAGATCTCGGTCTTTGAACGTATACTTCGCGACCATTCTTCGGGATTTTTCACAACTCTCCCTGCTGTTATGAGTTACTCTTAGCCCGCACCAATTCTCGTGACGCGCGTGTCTTCTCGTGACGCGTACCCCGCCCCTCTCCAACCCCTACTTATATAAATATTATGTTGGGATAATTAGGGCCTATCAAAAACCGAAAAACCAGTAAGAAATTTTCGCTGAAACCAAAATAATGCTGTCGAAAATAAGGATCTTGATGAAAGTGAAACGACTTGGCCTTGAACTAGACTATCACACACTAAAAACCGAAGACAGAAACCGCGTTTTCGCTCATGAAAGACGAAAGCCGTAAACTCATGAGTTAATTAAACCGCCGTGGATACTAAATCAAGACAATGAATACAGAGGTCGATCATGTGAGCTTTTAATACAAGAGACAGCTTTGAACTAGTCTTTTTCTTCCTCGAAAAATACCTTCAAATGTAGGGAATTAAGGTTTAACGAGCCATACAGACAAGGGGTTCTTCGACAGATGGAACGATTATCATAATTAGTATCATTAGCCAGTTTTTCCCTGAAACTGTTCCTGTTCAGGCGTCAATATAGTGGTTTTCGATAATTTGTTGGGATATTATTTCTCATCAGATCGACGGAGAAGTTAAAAAGGAAAAATGTAAACAAAACTAGTGAGTCCAAGGCTACGAAGTTTGTTTAACTATTGGTTCATGCTTTAGCGTGCACTATCGAGTTATGGAGCACGCGGGAAGTTTGGAGAGCACGAAAGAAGCGTAAGAGTTGCCCGAGGCGATAGCCGAGGGCAACTCTAGCTTCTTGAGTGCTCTCCAAACTTCCCACGTGCTCCATAACTCGATAGTGCACAGCTGAAAGCATGAACCAATTGTTTTAGAACATAGCCGGTGGAATTGTGCATCAAATGCGACGCGAAAAACGGACAACAATATCAGTTGAAGCGAATCGTGACGGCGCTGATGCCGAGTCTCCTTTTCCTTTGTTTTTCTCTTTTTCTGCCTCATTTAAGAACTCTAGCCCATGGGAAAAGGTCGAAACATTGTCTTCGTTTTCGGACTAGCAGGCCGAGTTTCTGTTTGTATCCATTATTGTCGCGAAATGTATTATTTTTCCCCGCACTAGCAATGGCCGCTCGCGCGAAAAAAAAATTTCTGGCGAAGTCGGATTTGCTGACGCTATCAGCGTGCACTATCGGGATTTTGAGCACGCTTACGTATAATGAATTTGATTGCGCGACTCTGCTAGCTATGTTCTAAAGGTAATTAATGGTATCTGTAAACCTGTTGGCAGGTTGATTTTTGGCGTGCGACAATTTAACATGCTTTCCATAATCAGTTTTCTTAGGGATGAACAATGCTTTGGTTTATCCTCTCAGGGCTATTTTGTATGATTCAAAGGATCGGTTACGATTCTCAAACGCTTCTTCTGATCTCATGGGACGGTTCCGGTGGGATTTTGCCAGCAAGGCTAAAACTCCGAACTTGGATTTGCTGGTAAACAGGCGTCACGGGGCCTTATGTCAGATCTGTTTTTCCGGCGGTCACCGCAGGATATCACAGTATCGTAACCGGCTTATACCCAGAAAGTCACGGAATAGTCAGCAATACTATGTACGATCCAGTTCTTACTAAAGGGGATTTATTATCCAACTACACTTCGTAGAGTACAAATAACGTCATGTACGAGTACAAATATCACGCGGTATTTGTACTCTAGAGTACCGGTTAAACAGGTTCTCTCGCATCGCGCAAGCGAAGAATTGAATTGTAAGAAATATACAACTTTTTTGAAAGACGTGTTTCGGCATGCATATGCCATCTTCAGTTAATGAGTAACTGAGTGTGAATAATTATATAGTACACAAGTAGATGAATTAGTACCCGCTTTTGTATTACATCATATTGTAAATAATTTTTTCATCTACTTGTATACTATATAATTGTTCACACTCAGTTACTCACTGACTGAAGATGGCATCCATATACATGCCGAAACATGTCTTTCAAAAAAGTTGTATATTCTTAAGGCTGGTTTTCACTTGCGACGGAGTCCTAGTCGGAGTCGTAATCAGAAGCGTGGAGCGATACGATCTGGTGAAAATCAAACCGACGTAGTCGGAAGCAGAACACCGATTCTGCCTATGACTCAGTCGCTTACGATCTAGTGAAAACTGCATTGTCGGAGTAAGTCGGAAGCGGAAGTGGAAGAATAAACCAATCACAATCCTCGATTCCATCTTTCCAAAATGTACAAATAGCCATAACAAATTTAAACGTGTGAGCTTGACTGTAAAATTACGAAATTAAAAGTTAAAATACTCGAAACCTACCGAAGACAATTCGCGATCACCAAGCCGTAGTTCGCTGACGAGGTTAGCATACTCTTCCTAAGCTGCTCGACGTTGATAGTTATCACGAACCCAAAATTTCTTTCTTTTTCGAACGATATTATTCCTGTATTGTCTCTGCCTGCGAAAAATAATGATTAATAGGAGCCAAAGTCGCTCTTCGTCCGCCATGGTGTCTTTGGCGCCAAAATTTGTACTTTAGCGGGCCTGGAATAAAGCATTGTGATTGGTTTATTCTTCCGCTTCCGCTTCCGACTCTGACAATGCAGTTTTCACTAGATCGTAAGCGACGGAGTCATAAGAAAATGGAAACGTTCTGATTCTTCCGACTCCGATTCCGTTGAACTTATGACTCCGCTTACGACTCCGTTTTTCGATTTTCACTAGATCATAAGCGCTCTTACGACTCCGACTCCGACTCCGTCGCTAATGAAAACCAGCCTTTACAATATCTATCATACTTGCTATTATTGCGACCTAATTGAATTGTAGTTACGAAAAGAAAATGGCGGACAATTTGAATCATATTTCCGACGACGAAGAGTCAGAATGGCTGGCAAATATACTTCCAAGTTTATTACATGAATCGTACGAAGAAAAACAGCTAGACGACCTGGAAATTTCTTCATTTATTGAAGAAAATAGAATTATAACATAACCAAAGTAAAGCGCGCGCTCTGATTGGTCAATTTAGCGTTCCCCATTTGCCCATGGGTGTACGCTGCTGACGTGAGCAAATGCAAAGACTATTTTTCCGCGCGCGCTTGTTTTTTCTGGTCGCGTAAGATTTGTTAAATAAACGGGAACTCTTTAGCTACAATGTATCAATGTTATGTTATAAAACAAATGGTAAACACCACAGCGTACACTATTGAGTTATGGATGCACTTGGGAGGTTTGCTAAGCACTCAAGAAGCTAGAGTCGCTCTCGGCTATCGCCTCGAGCGACTCTTACGCTTCTTTCGTGCTTAGCAACCTCCCGCGTGCATCCATAACTCAATAGTGTACGCTGTGGTGTTTACCATTTGTTTTATAACATAACATTGATACATTGTAGCTAAAGAGTTCCCGTTTATTTAACAAATCTTACGCGACCAGAAAAAACAAGCGCGCGCGGAAAAATAGTCTTTGCATTTGCTCACGTCAGCAGCGTACACCCATGGGCAAATGGGGAACGCTAAATTGACCAATCAGAGCGCGCGCTTTACTTTGGTTATGTTATAAT